CTGGACACCGAGACGCGTCAATGATACCTCATTTGTCTCGATTGGTGGAGGCAAGGGGTCTAACTGTGAATAATAAATGGGCGCGGGTTACTTGAATGTATAAATGATGTGAACATTAAACAAATCAAAGGTTTTACTTTATCGTATACGTACGGAGAAATTTACGAAGCATAGTATTGCGAATTTACGAAGCGAAACAATTATGTAATTCTACTGCAAAGATCGGCAATTTTTCAACAGAAAAACTCGTAACATGGAGCCCTGATAAAGAAAAAGAGCATATATCCTGAAACAATAAGTAGTAAATTACTTTCTTTAATATACGTCAGAATACAGAAATTGCAGGTCCTTGCCACCTAAAAATCATTGTTTTTACTTTCTCGTATACGTACGTATATGCGAAGTAATATATGTAGAATAGAAAAGGTTATGTAATGCTGCGGCAAAAACGGCGATTTTTCGACAGAAAAACTCGTATTGTGGGGCCCCGATACAGAAACGTAGATGAAACATCTAATATGTAGTAAATTACTCCCTCTAACAAGTTATGTAGTCAGATTTCAGATATTGTGGGACCTTGATACCGAAAAATTTTGTGTTTTTTTAAATTTCTCGCTACTGCTTACGCAGTAGAGAAAAGTTATGTGATGCTGTGGGAGAGAGACGAATTTTCGGCAGAAAAAACTTATTGTCAGGCCCTGGTAACGAAAAAGTGAATAAATTCTAGTTCCTAAATTTAAGGGGTGGATCTTCTAACACGTGGTGTCGTCAAAATTCATGTTTCGTGGTCCTTGATACCGAAAAATCGATGAACGGCAAAACGTCCGTCTGTGCGTTTGTCTGTAGGTCCGTTAGTGATCATCACAAGCGCCTAAACCATACGTACGATTTTTTTGCAAAATAGATACTCTCCGGTCGATCTGGCACGAGTCGAAGCTTTTCCATTTTGAAAATCATTCTTTAAATTTTGGGAGTACTTTACATGAAGTACTCGAAACACTTTCAAAATTTTCAAAAACATGACTCCAAATTTCTTTTTTAAATTTCTTGCAGGAATAGGGTGAAATACACTTATAATGGTGGCGTAGGTCCGATTTTCACTGTTATCTTCGAAATTTAGAAAAATTGCAAAAGTTTGAAATTTTTTCGGCGTCTTCCTACAACTACAAAATTGAAGATAGAGATTTTTTCCTTAAACTGATATTTGTTCTCCACAATTATGTCTTTCATTATGGTCATATAAACATTTTTTTGAAAATGTAGTGGGTTACGCGCAATTTTGTATGAAGTATGGACAATATTAAAAAAGTCCAAAACAAGAATTTCTCAAAAAGCGCTCCAAATTTTGCGGATTACTAATCTGTGTTTTTGATAGAGATAGAAAAGGACAGCTTCTTGAGTTTTCAGATAATTTAGATGTAACATTGAGGATCTTCTTCTATTTAATAAAGAAAGAAAAGGACTAATCAAATGCAAGTTCATGTTAGAGTTTTTTAACACTAATACAGTAGTACTATTTTAGCGTGGCCGCTGAAAATCGAGGGCTCAGACTTGCCGGAAGAGTCCATTCCTCAAAACGTATCAGTTTAGGGGAGAGCGCTCCGTTCCCAGCACCAGTTGACAGCTCAATTCAGTTGAGTAAACAATCACCCTGACTTTTCGTATCCTCGCGGTGCACGCTTGCAGTTGCATTTCCTACTAGAGCGAAGCTTTTGTACGTGATTCGTAAAGTTCTGTTTAAGTGATTATTGTTATGTTTGCGATTATTGCAGTGCGTCCGGTTCAGAGCAAGTTGCATAAGGTCCTTCACAGTCGGACGCGTGAATTCGTTGCAAAAGTATATCAATTTATGAAAAGAGAAGCAAATGAAAGTGTTAAAAATTCAAAAACCGTTCTTGGCTGCTGCTCCGGGTGTTTCGAAAAGACCTGTTTGCAGAATTAATAAGGAAATTAATTCTATTGAATCATGAGAATCGTGTTCAGTTTCAACTCCGCATAAAGAGAGGACGAGGAAGAACGTGGCACAATTATTTAATGCACCATATCAAGAAATACTTATTTTCACCGGAAACGGCGCAAACGATAGTAATGTCAGTGGCAGTGATGTAAGTTTCGATAGTGAGGAAACGGGTATCAGTGTCAGTGGAAAAGATGTAGATGGATGACGGATGGACCCGGGACGAAAGGAAATAGAAACTAAAACGGGGAAGTCTGCGCCCTTCTGTAGCAATACTAGTTTAATATTAAATCTGAATTTTCGAAAACTTCAAAGCTTTGAAATGTTTTCGGCATTTTCCTACAACTACAAAATTGAAGGTAGAGATATTTCCTTCAAATGAAATTTGTTTTCCATACTTACTTCGTTCAATAAGGTCATGTACATTTTTTTTGAAATTTTTATTAGTTTTCACGTAGTATTGTGAGCAATATGTGCAATTTTAAAAAAATAACAAAAACAAGATTTACTCTAAAACGGCTCCATTTTTTTCTTTAGGGATAGTAGCTATAAGTACTCTATAAGATGACATAAACTCCATATTGCTCTATTGTTTTATTTTTTCAAAAACTACAAAAATGTAATTTTGTACATACCTCTCACGACGTGAATACTTACATTACTGGCGATTTGTTTCTGGTATTGTATTTACAAGTATATGAGGTTTAAAGAATGTCTGATAAAGTTTTTCGAAAACTCAACATTTTGCTGTAAAATTGAGCTCAAAAATACGCATTTTTAGAAACGCTCGAACGCTATTTTCTCAAAAATAGCTCAATTTGTTTTTCAAACTTTTTCAACAGATAGTGAAAATTGCACTGTTTAATATGACGTAATGTTCATTTTAATGTATTCTTATGTATTTTTAAACATTTCAGAATGTAATTTTTTTTAAATACCCTTCTCGCTCTTAATATGCACATTTCCAGCGATTTGTATGCATTATTGTATTTGTGAATGTGCTTTAAATTACTTCAAATGAAGGTTTTAGAAAATTCAAAAAATTTCTGTGAAAAAGAGCTTCAAATTTCGAATTTTAAATGAAGTTTAAATGCCACTTCCTTAAAAACGGTTCCAAATTTTTCAATAAAAATCGTCATTTCAGACAGGATTTTACTCTTCTTTAATCTTTATAAAGTAATATTTTAATTCTCTTAGGAAATAGAAAAATTAAGGATTTTTTTAAAAACTGTACTTTGGGGACGATAGATGGCAGTTGGTTTGTTGTTGCTCCATGCTGCCAACGCCCTCTAGTATGTGAGTGCCGTGATTAAATTTTTGAACGCGAGTAATGTTAAACCAGCCGAAATTTATCAAGTTGAAGAAGTTCAAGCTCGAACAAATGTCCACGATGAGGCTCGGAATGGTCGGCCTGTTGTCACCGATGATTGGTAAGGAAAGTTGAAAAAATTCATGAAAATAGGCTCTTCACAATGACAATCCTTTCAGAGGAAGTTTCAGAAATATCACGAACTGTTTTGTTAAAAAAACAGGTTAGGTGGCAAGCGCTTAGGATTTGACGATGAGGAGATGAAAACTGCTGTAGTGTTGTGGCTGTCGAAACTGGAGGAACGTTTCTTTGAAGATGGTATACAAAAATTGGTCATCCGCTACAAGTTTTTGAACATTCGCGGAAACTTATGTTGATAAATAGTGTAAGAAATGTATTTTCATGTGAAATTAAAATTGGCTTCAAAAAAGTTTTTTACGTCTTTCTTTTTTCTTCTTTCCCAAGACGGTACTTTCTTTTTGAATAAGACTTGCAATAATGTTACGATTATTATAAGTTCATTACCATTTTCCTTTTTACACAAACAACAGTTACACGACTGAAATTCATCTGCTTGCTAATCTTAAACATTGTGCAATAATTATATCTGGTTGAAATTTTCATGAGTTCAATCTGTTACAGTGCTTGAACAACAGTGATGGATCCAGGGAGTGGGGCATGGGGATCATCCCCCCTCCCAAGGCCTAGATGCCGTTTGTTATCTTCTTTTATTTGGCAAAATTTATTTAACATTTTATTTATGCTAGAATTATGAAATTATTTTTAAAATACTGTTGTATTTGTATCATATACACACTACAAAAAGCATACAATATTTTATTAAATTGTATATTGGATAATAACAAATATCTTTATTATTTAACAAAAATATATGCACCCCCTCCAAATGGTCCGCTGAATCTGCCCCTGGCGGAAAATTTATAGTGTTTAGAAAGAAGCTATACTTTTAGACTAGCAGTATACATACATATATTTTATATGGTTTTCTATAAAATACATTACTAGCGCCATCTCTTACTAAGTAAGTTAAATATTACCCTGAATGTTGCACTAACTCTTGAATCAACGCATTATTTTATGCTTCATAATTTTCAAACGTTGGTGATCGCATTCTAAGAAAACAAAAACGAATCTTAAATCGGAATACTACTGCCACCTGGTTGTGTGCTGAGACAGCGCCTTCTGGAATACTATTCAGAGGGCGCTGGCTGTAAGCACGAGGCACGGAGTGAGTGCCGAGGCCGATAGTGTGGCCGAAGTAGGGAGTATTATAAAGTGTAATTATATTAGTAAAAGTGTAAGTGGTATCGAGGAACACGAACAGCGATTATTACATACTCCAATTTAAACATAGTGGCACTGTTCGATTCCGAGCTGATCGAAGAGGGGAACGATTATCCAATCAGGAGCTTTGTTACGACTTAAATTTTTGGCATGGAAGCTCTCCATTGGACGATAATTTCATTCTCCCTCTTGTCTTGAAGTGCCACTATGTTTACACCGGAGTCTGATCGGAGTATATACTACCACAGTGCGTTGGGATTAAAAACAAGCACATCCTTTCTACGAATACGAAATATTAGAGGGCTGGTTCGGTGGTTCGTATTATTCTATGTTCGTAGGACGGTGAAAACTGCGTTACGTTTTTGCATTTGTTTTCACAATTATAGTTTTTAGAGTGTATTGTGAAGTAAATATTTAACAATAAGTATCATGGTGCAAAGTAAAACATTGTTAGTGCGACATTTGCCGCCTAACCTTACCGTCGAAGAAAGGGAAGATCTGTTGAAACATTTCGGTGCTATTAATGTTAAAGTTATCAGTTCAAAAGTGAAAAAGAGTAGTTTGGTATTTGCAACATTTCCATCTCGTGAGGAAGCAACTTCTGCTTTGCACAGACTTCATCAACTTGATGTGTTGGGTTATCCCCTAACAGTTGAGTATGCTAAAGGCGGAGAGAACTTGGATACACTTCCAGAGGTAAAACAAGCATTTCAAATCCGCAAAGATGAAAAAGAAAATAGCCAAAAGCATTATGAAAATTTTCTGCACAAACTAAATACATGGCATAGTTCTGTGGATTTCACCCAACCACCACCAGCTCATCTACGTTATCAATATCCTCCTCCTTCACATACTGTGTTGGTGAATATAATGAGAGCTCTTGCTTCTGTTCCAAAGTTCTACACACAAGTCTTACATTTAATGAATAAAATGAATTTACCTTCTCCTTTCGATTGCATTTTTCCTGAACCTGACGTTTTAAAACAAAGTTCACAGGTAATAACTTCAGAAAATATGGATATTCAAGAAAAAGTTTCTTCTACTGAAGAGTCTGAGATTGAAAGTGAAGAGGACACAACACAAATTCTCCAAAATATTGTTCCAGTCAAGAGATCATTACCTCCAAAAAAGACCAAAGTGAAAAGACCCAAGTTTGTCAAACCAGCCCCAGCTCCAACATCCACATCAAAATCATCCACAAAACCTGAAGAGGTGTTTGAGAAAGTGGAACTTGAGCCTACTCAACGTAAAATTGCATTTGTTCTTCCACCAGGAGAAACAATCATACAATCTGCTGACTCTGCAATGCCATTAGAAAATGACTCCACCAGTGTACCTTCTGGATTTGGTTTAATATTTCCAGTTGTAAAAGATCTCAATACTGAAAATGAATCGGTTGACAGTGAAAACAAGGAAACAGAGGAGCCTACACCTAAATCTTGCATAACTTCACAAGAATTAGCTTCAAACAGAATTTCACCTCGAGATCAAAAACATCTCTCAGTATTCAAGAATTATCAACCAGGGATTCCTTCTTGCAGGTTGTACATTAAAAATTTATCTAAACAGGTTGATGAAAGGGACCTACATTACATATATTCCAAATACATTCTGCCTGATAATGATGAGCAAGGAAGCATGTTTGATATTCGTTTAATGCAAGAAGGTCGAATGAAAGGCCAGGCATTTGTAACTCTCCAAAGTGTAAAACAGGCTCAACTTGCATTAAATCAAACCAATGGCTACATATTGAAGGATAAGCCAATGGTGGTTCAGTTTGCAAGATCAGCTGTAGCAAAATCTACTTAATAGAATTCCAGCAAAGACAGTTTTGAAGGCAAGTTATACTTTAAACTATTGCCGTTAATATCTATAAACTACCTGTTGAATCATTTTATACAAGATGTCATGTTATTGTTGGCAAGGTTGCAATCAAATGTAATATACAACCAATTTTTGTATAAAATATGAGTTTTATACTCTCTGCAATGTAGTACAAGGTGTCCCAAAGTCAGTTTACAGAGAATAACAATGACAGAGTAAGAACACGTCTTCAGTTTACTTAATTTACATAGTGCTAAAGTTTTGAACTTACAACACTTGTTCAAAATGCCTCCCTTCAATTTCAATATAATTTTTTGCAAAAATCTTTGTTATTATGGATTACTTAAAGTGGCTCTCTCAATTGATGTAAATCAGAGGATTTTTGAGTAAATACTTATTTTGCACAATTTTACTATCTGAAAAGTCTTAACAGTATTAGATCGCATGATCTTGGGGACCAATCAGTTCTACATGGTGTTCCGATCCACTCATCGAGCAGTTGATGAGACATTGCCTCACCATTCACGTGTAATGTGGTGGAGCACCAACTTGTTGCCAACTTGTTGCTTTGCATTTTCATACAAAGGCTTGTTTTGTAGCTCAGGCAAACTCACTTTTTGCAACAGGTATAATTCCCCTCTAACAGTGCTAGTTTTGGGTCACCCAAATTTTGATAAATTATGTACCCTTCTAATTATCTCAATTCATTTGTTCAATTTGTAAATGCCTTGCGTACATGGTGTTGGAGTTTGGGCATATCTTTCCACAAATAGCTGAATAACTTCCTCAGTATTTTTGTTTGTCTTCCACCAACATTTTAAGAGAGTGCATTCTTCAGTTGTAAGTTTGCTGTACAAGGCCACAAATATCAACAAAAATGTGTCAACAATTAATTTAACAGCTCTGTAAAGTGCTAACAATCAGTAGTGCCAACAAAAAACAATTTTCTGTAAGAAAAACAGCTGTAATGCAATATGATGAAATAATTGAAGTTGTTTTCGTCAGCTTAATAGATTTATTCACAGAGATGACTCTCGATGGCTTTGCCATCATCATCATCATCAGTATCGCTACATGTGGCAAAAGTCAGGAGACAGTGCCCCGAGGCACTGTCTTGCAACTTTTGTCACATACAGGGAGACTGATGATGTTGGCAAAGCCATCAAAAGCAATCTCTTTATATAATTCTTTTCAGTTGACGAAGATGACTTCAATTATTTCATTATTTAATTACATCAATACCTTATAAGAATTCCTACAATGTAATGCAATAACAAATATAGTATTCCTCAGAAACTTTTGGGACACCTGGTAAATGCTTTACTTGACAGCTACCAAAGAGAAAAAACGTGTCTGTACTGAATTTACATTGCATTTAAATACAATGTTTTGTATTAAAAAAGAATATTGAACTTTTTTCCAGCCCTTTAACAAAAAATTCCAGTAAGATAAACTATAAGAATTGTACTGTGTACTGCAATAATCCCTTCTGTCTTTGCTTTCCACTGCTCTGAAGAATGTAATATCCAATATCCCAATAATTCTGTTTAAAAGATGACATGATTTACGTCATAATTATCACAGGAACCATTCTTTAATTACTAAATACTTCTTTTACAGCCACACCAGACTTACCAATTTGGTAAATACTTTTCACTCACAAATATTCTGAAAAGATATGCTAACTCTCGGGGTAAGAACTATTTGGGGATCTCAGGGATTCGGTAATAATTAAACAATAATATCATCTTGATGAGTTAAGAATATCACCAATCAATGAACAAGTTTCTTATTTAATATAATGTAGAATAAACCAGTTACCCTATAATTTGGATCAAATTCAGTGTCAAAAGTATGGATGGAAAATATTGGAGAAAAGTATGGATGGAAAAGATTTAACATACTGGTACAAAACTAATATGTAGTCACCAATTCTGTGGACAACTGAAATGATCACATGGGCTTATGAATGAAAAACAAAGCTCCATGTGGTTGAAATATTTGTGAAAATGAAACATATTTTGCTGCATAAATTAATTTCAGTATTTCACTTGCATCATTTTTTCCAAAAGGCATATTTAAGTTATGATGAATTTAAACAAACATTATCAATATTAGTAGATCTCAAAGGTTTTTTAAAAGCATGAAAATCTTTTAGAAAACAAATTTAAAGCATTTGAGAATAAAATTACGAAAAGAAAATGTTTGGACTGAATTTACATTCAATCTGCAAAACAAGAAAATGCATTACATCATTTTTGCTCCTCTTTAATTTTTAATGTAAAGGTTAGTAAAGTAAGACTTTACTCCAAACACTCACTTCAGGATAATATTTCACATTTGCCACAAGACTTTCAAGGTTCATCAGTAGTGGGGTAGTTTTGGACTAACCCAATGAATCACACTTACTGATGTTTTTACATGATAAATCATACAGACTATCTCCCCCATCCATAATTATATTTTTGATTAATTTTTATTATAAGTATTTTCATCAGGCATTGTTTTACTTTCTTTACACTTCAACTCTTGAATTTTGTTCAACATTATCTTTGTTAAAGTAATGATTAGTGATTATACTTTCTAAATTGTGTTATTACAGTGTTTTACAACTGAGACTGTTTACCGCCTTTTGCTGATCATAATTGGTCATGCTTTCTTACTATTTAATTTAACTTAAGCTATTATACTTAATACATTTCATGTGTGGGATGGAAAGGGCTATAATTGAATGAATGGCATGTTCAAGAAAATGAGTATTGATAGGCATGAGATTTCTAATTTACCACGAGTGTAATTATATTCCTTCATCCCTGTGATATGTTCAAAATCTTTTGTTTCAATTTAAGAATAATTTAAATTTTGTAAAATTCAAGCACATCTTTACTACTCGACATATATATTTGATGACATTGCTTCTGAAAAAGACCTATTTTAGTGGCACTTGAACTGTGTACTTAAGATCACCAAAGCGATTTAGAAGATAAAGAAATGTTTGAAAATGGAAGATATTGAACATATTCTGGGTGAAATATTAAAAGACCAAGCCATGAAAGCACTTCCCATGAAAAGGAAAGTCAGGTATGACAGAGAATACATGTATAATGTTGAAAAGTAAAAAAAAATGTGTCACTCCTGACCCAGAAGTTTTGCAGGTGTACTTCTTAGAACAGGTAATGTTTTACATGTAAAACATTTAATTTATTTGTGTTATATATTTTATGTTATTCCATTATTCAGCCAGTGTTAAACCAACACTTCACCAACTTCGTTATATTCATTATTTGTGTAGTCAAAGCAGGTACATAATCTGTGAAGTACATTTTTGTTCACATTTCATGACCAACTGGAAATATTTTGACCACGTCTGTATTATAGCAACTTAATAATTAAACGATTTTGATCTTTTTTCTGAATTCTGATTGGTTGGTAGTTGTGGAGTTTTAATTGCATGGTGGAGCTTTAATTGCTTACATTCAATTAATTTAGTGATCTTCAACAATTTTTCATGGAATTAATGAGTATATTTAATTCACTGAACGACAAAAATAGCTAATGAGAAATTTGTCTACTTTTTGCATCTGAATATATAAAGGACAATAAGGTTGCTATTTCTGTGGAAAAAAGATAATGTTTAGAGGACTTTATGACTAAAATATAGTAGGAACTTTTTATCTATTTCCAGATGTATTTGCATGTACAAATTCTTGTCTTCTTTGAAGTACATATTAAAGAGATATAGCTATTAAATTTAATTTTAAGGGCACAGTTCAACATTACAAGATGCACAATGGTCATTCAAAAAACACTAAAATCAAATTTCATATTCTCATACGAATATTCCAAATGGAGAATATCAAGCTTATTTGCTTACACCAATTAAATAAAATGCATTAGCATGTAAAAGTTTTTAAGTAGGATGTTGAAATCATCCAAAAGAACATCATTTAGTTATTTTTTTCCATTCTCTTCCCTGGCTCGGGTATAACATCCTTAGCATTATAAAGAAAATATTCTGTAAAGTTGCCAACTAATCCTCATTTCTCTCAAGAAACAAGATTACACAAGAAAGGTCAGAAGACGTTGCAAGATCTTGGCTTGTCATCTAGAGTTCAGGTTCAAGTCACACAATTCATTGGTCAACTGAAACAGATAGTAATATTTTGGAATATTCCCTACGACATATACTTCCTTCATGCTGCATAAATTGTTACTGTTAGTTTTGTTAGCAGGGCCTAATTTGGAACTAAATAAGTAAGAGAGCTCTGAATTCACACTTCCAACTAAAAATGCCTACTTTCAAATGATCTGCATAACAATCTTTAATTCATTATACTATATAGTACGATAATGTTACAATGTATCAGTTTTTGTAATAAATAAATCCAATTGAAAAGGTTTTATTTTAAATTTAACTTAATTGAAAAAAAATTGGAGCACTGCTCCCATTTAACATCCCCAAATTAAGCATTGGTAATTAGTACAACTACTGTACAATTTTTAACATTATTCAATGCTTCGAAGATAGTTCTAAAGTGTTTTACAACCAAAGAGGAATAGAAAGAGCTGTAAAGATGTATAGATCTTCATTACAGTCTTGAAATCAGTTACACTCTTTTCACCATCAAGTGTCCTTGTGATACAGTACAGGCCTGTCACCACAATGCCCCCTAAAAGCAAACAGGTATATCCAGGGCAAAGAAGTTTTAGAATTGAGCTCAAGAGTCATAATGTTGGCTGGAATTTTTTTCACAAATAGAAAAACTGCAATCAGGGACAATCGGCTTCCTCTTCCCAAGAAAGCTTACAAGGACTTTTTGTGTTTAAAAATCTATTTCAACGGCAGCCAAAAAGAAAAAGGAAACAATTATAATTTTTAATATTCTTGGGAAAACATATAGCATCTTCAAAGTTTATTCTGTTGGAAAATCTTTCCCAGTGAAATGATCAGTATATACCTTGTTAATTAATAAACAAACCACTCAGCGGATGGAAGAATCATGGATGTGCTAAGATATGATTGTTACAGATAAGCTTTAAAAAAATATTTTTGTTAGAAAAAATGTTTGCTCAAGAATTTTTTTTCAACTCATTTCAAACAATCATGTAGAAAGGAAAAACAGTAGAGAAAAGTCAGAAAGTATAGGATTCGTGAAAATACATATTTGAAACATTTCCAAACACCCTTACAGAATGGTAGAACAAAATGTAGTAGATATTCAAATGTAATAATAAACCAGAATTAACAATAATTATTCTGATACAGATTATTCAAATCCAGTAGCTTAGGAGGGATGTTTCAATTAAAAGAAACAGGTATGTTAAATAATATCTTATTGCTTAAAAATTAATCCGTTTTGCAACACAATATAAATAAAATAATTACAAAATTAATTACTCATTTGCTCTATTAACTAAAAATATATACATTGTATTTAATCACGATATGCAAAACACAAACCCAATTTACAGTCAATCATTGTAATGGAATTCTGAAGTATTTCACTCACAATATTGTTATAAATAACAATGTGGCATTCTCTCCCTTTGTCTCAAGGGACAATGAAAATATTTACAGTCAAAACCCCTCAAATTTTTGAAATCCATGCAGTATATCGTTAAAAATACATGGACATAATTAAACAATAGAAGGAAAAGTAAATTTTTCTTTAAATCCTACCTTCAATTCTTCCTGGCGACGATAAGCATGAAGCATCCACGCCTTTTTTTCTTCCTCAGAAACAACGGGCTCACGGGCAGGTGCTCCATGTCCTTGTTTCTGAATTTTGACAATGATTTTGGTCTTCTCATTCTTGCCAATAAAGTCGACAAGCTTCTTACCTCGCAGGAGCTCCTTGCCACTAAACCACAGCTGAGCTTCACTCATTTCAATTACCTTTGAAAAAATGGCAAAAACACATTGTTATTATTATTGTATACACCTCTAAAATAATAGAAAAAAATTAATCCTTCACTGATCAATTTAGGAAAATGAAAAAAGAGAATATCATAAAGAAATCAAGACAACAAAAAGAAGACTCCATCAGGGCTGCATGTTATCACCCTAGCTGTATAATATTTATTGCATAAGAATATGGAATGAGAATATCACCAACAAAAGCAAAAGGAATAGTAGGCAACAAACACCAGAGATTGAAAATAGTAATAATGGAAAAATTATAGAACAGGTAACATTTTTTTTATATTTGGGAAACAGATAGTCATTAGAAAATAAATATTTTGAAATGAAATTGGCTAGATATAACAAAATTAACAAATACATCAAAAGACATTTGAAAAATATGACATCTGAAACAACAAATAGACTACATGGTACAATATCTAAACCAACCATAACACATGGCAGCACAAATGCATGGTAAAGAAGAGTCAAACACTACAAACTTCACAAATGAAATATTTGAGAATTATTTTAAACGATAATAGAGGAGACCGTTAGCAAAAAGGTTGTACGGAAGAGACTGGTTATAACGAAACAAAGAATATAGTGAAGTAAGTAGAATATTACCAAATGAAATGACAGACACACATCAAAAGAATAAACGCAAATAGATATGTAAAATAGATACTCTCACTGAAATTCTTAAGATTGAGAATGCAGAAAATTGAAACCTGGAACATCTTAATGACTAAGGGAATACTTGGTATGAAAGGAACAGATCATGTTGATCTAACACTTCGTAGTTTGATGAAGACAGTCTTTAATTTAAAAACATCAAAAACATTTCACAAGAGATAAGATATCTCCTTTTGTTTTATTGGTTACTTTAGACAGAAAAGGAACTATTCTTCAGGAAAGGAACCATTTTTCATTTTAACACTTTAAAATCATGCCCAAGAATTCAAATAGGAATTGAATAAATATAAAGGTCTTTTATATTAGTTATTTCAAACACAGAAATAATTTTTTAAATATCATAATAATACAGTGGGCCAGGAAAGTCTCCACACCAAGCCAAGTCAGGGCCTCTTATTAAAAATTGCATTTTTGTTGGTCACAAACAGATCACTGAGAAACAAATGAAGGGGGCAATATGTCCAGCATCTACTATGATTTGTGATGACTATGCAATTTACTTTTCCTTTTGTTACAAGGTGCAGCTCATCCTACTAATATAATTTCTGTTGCAAGCACACTCACCAGCAAGATGATACGACAGAAAACCTTTCCTGGCACACTATATTTTAATAAAAAATGAAAACTATTTCAAAATTGATTCCAGATCTAAAACCATACTTTTTTGTTATCAAAAACTCTATATTTTATTTGGAAAATATTTCATTCAATTGATAATATGTGATCCCTTGAAAATAGCAGAATCAATAATTACAGTATTGTAATGATAACTAATAAGTAAGTTTTAATTGTATTGTTTTAGGAGGGAAATCCTTTATAATTACCATATTAAATGAACACTGTAATAATTTCTAAATGTTATTGAAAATTAATTATTTTACAATTATTTCTTACTGAAGATGGTTGACAAATTCGAAATGAATTACATTTTACTTTCTTCAATTAAAACTTTCAGTATTGTTACTTACAACCAGTGGCAGGGCATTTGGTCATCGATATATGTGCTGATGATTTTTTCATGTTTTTTATAATTATTTTTTTAATGAGCTGAGATATTAATGTTTTTGTAGAAACTCAGCTAAATTCCCAGCCATGCGTGGTGAAACATGCCATTACAACATAGTATGAATTTGTGAAGGGAACAGTGTATTGTGTTTGTGTGCAACTGACTGAGTGATTTTACTGGATTTGTTAGTGATTTTAGGATTACTGGTTGTCATGCACTGTGAAGGAAAATGAAGATACCAAAATTTAGCTGAAACTAAAAAACTATTTGCATCAGAGGATAGTTTGGCCACAGACTTTCCTTGTCAGGCCAAGTTACTTAAAAATTTAGAAATAAAATCATAGAATCATACAATTTAAAGTTTTTATTCTTCTTTAACAAAATTTTATTGCAACAATTCAAAGAATCATATTTTATCTCCATCTTCAGGCTACAAGAAATGGGGAAGACAAGGGAATGGAAAGATAATACAAGAGGAAAATTTTAATGAAGATTGAACAAAATGACATGTAACTGATGATAAAATACACAAAAAACATGATACAATTATAAAGCAGTAGCACTCGATATAAAACAATGTGTAAAGATTCACCATTTTTAAAAACAAAAGATACTTAATATATTAAAATAAATAAAAATGCAAGTCACTGCAAAAGCACTTTCACAAAACCTAGTTGATTCACTTATGTTTGAAGAGATGCTTTTGATTGAACATGTTTGCTTTTGATCATGAAATGAAAAATTTTTCTGAAAATTGATTTGCTAACTTAGATACAAATTTTTTTGAATAGATGGTATTTAAATACTATGAACTGATTGTTTTTAATAGAATTGCAACAATTGTTCTTGTACTATACAAGATGAACTATATATTTTAAATGCAACTTTACTTTAACCATTTAAAACAGAACTACTTCCACACATTAAAGTAAAACAAGGGAAGGTGACAGAAACTAAACTATCTGTGCTTTATAAGAAAAGAAAATAAGCCTTAAAAGAAATAAAAAGTAAATAAATAAAAAGAGCAAATGATGCCAGATCCAAATACAAGTACTGCAAAGAATCCACGATCTCTAAGGGCAGACGTGCAAGTACAAGCAAGTCTAGAGTACGAAGTACATACTTACACACTAGAAATGTGAGAGGAAAGTGAAGGGGGCAACAAATGGTCAGTCATGTTGCTGATGCTAAGAATCGAAGCACACAATCACTAATCGTTCCACTAAGTCAAAAATTCAAATCATTTAGGAGCATTGATGCAAAACAAACTTTATCAAATGTTGTGATCACTCAAAAGAAGAAATATAACTTTTACTAAACAAAACAGTAACTTCTTCCAATTACTTTTAATTCCTTTTCCCACTCAATCATCCTTACAAATATCCTATGTAATTGACCTATTATCAAAAACACAACATAAGTAAGATCAGATAGAATAGCCTACTTCTGGACAATGAAATTGAGAAGCCATAGTGGGGTTAACAACTCAGGTGAGCTGTCACCTTACCTCACTGAGATATATTTAAATAAAGCTGTTTACAATTTCAACTGAATCAACATCTCCTTTCACAAACATGGGCAGCCATATACTTACTTTCTCAAATGTCATGGATCTAGAAAGTTCTGTAAGTATTGTAAGTATCTAGAAAGTTCTGTAAGTATTGAAATGACAAACTAAGCAGAAAATTGAACAATCAAATATACCTCAAGAGATGCATGAGTACCACTTAAATCTTCAGTGTTTTCAAACTCCTGACGAATAACATCATGAGGTGGAAGTCCCATGGGATATACTATCATCACTGCTCCTCGCAATATATCTAAGGCATGGTGGATCATTTTTTGAGTCACACAAACATTTGCATCCACTTGTTTCTGGAAAAAACAACAACAAGAAATTGATGTAAAGATTAAGTCCCAAGAATCACTGAAATAATAGATAGCATTAAAATAGCTGTCAATTGTAAGTAGATTGTTTCCATTCTTCAAAATGGACATATATATTTCTGAATGTGGTTCAACTGCAACATATATCAATACTTCAACACCCCTTCTAAACCTGACAATGTACTGCTCCTATCAGGAAAGTTCTCCTACTCATTTATCACATCATAATTCACATTTTATTTCTTTATTCATAATTTGATTTGAAATTTCCAAGGAAAACTTCACTTCAGAAAAGATAAGCAATACAATATTACATGAGTCTGCGCATTAAATTTCATGATCAAAACTATCTTAAGGATCACTTATGCTCCAGACATAATGGGAAAATCCTAATTCAATTTGATTCTATAGAAATTTCGAATTACTGTGTATTGGTAATTTTGAAAATGAATTTAGCCTGGGAGTGGGTGCAATGGGGTGCCTGAGTCATCCCAGCACCGTTTCAGAAACTACTGTAGTTTCAGTTATTTATTATTAAGAGATGGAATTTCTTGTAATAAAAAAGGTAAAATATGACATATATGTGTATCTACTTTTTCCAAAATACATAAGAAAAAATAGAAAATATGTAAAAAAAAGTATTATAGATTATATATAAAATTATAATTCCTCTATACAAGCATTTTACAAGCAAATAACGTCGTCGATCGGTCTTATCATTGATTTCGAGAGAATGAAAGAAAGGTCTTTCTTTACAGACGTAATTGTATAGTTGTTTCTTTCGTCATATAAAATATGTTCGTCCTAAATACACTGTTTACAAGGAGATGCTGTCCATGATGAATCCCAGAGGTGAGGGGAAAGGTCATCCTCTCCCAGCCTACTCCCACAATGCAATCAGAAAATGAAATAATATTAAGAATATTTTTTGAAATAAGAAAAAGAATAAGAATATTTGTTCATTTTTTTATCGCATTATGCATGGATTGTATGAAACATGAGCAAGAATAAGGTTGACATTACTTCTGCTTCACATATTCATCTGCTCATCTTTGAACCAGAGTATGCAATTTTCAAGAAGCAAGGGGAGGAATAAATTTGACAATTCATGAAGTAGGACCGGTGGTCATAGAGGCACATTGCTTTGCTTTGTGAAGAAAGATGATTCCAGTAACATGGTATATTGCAAACTATTATCTGACATGTTCAGTTTTGACGTATAAATATATTAAAATGTAACAAAATATGTAGTAATAGGTAAAATATGTCAACATTTGTAATTATAGCAAAACATTTAAAAATACGTAAAATAAAAATACTTCTATTTCATTCATAATGTCCTGTAACCTCTAAAAAATATTTTTGAATGCAGCCATCTTGTTCCTGTAAATGGATGTATTTACATGAAAATCTGTTTCCTATTTATTATCTTTCAAGTTTCTCAATATCTTTCAAGAAAAGCTTTATGCATGAAACTGGCAGCTTATCTTTCAACTTCTTCATGAAATCATGAAATTTCAATGCAAAGAAAATATGATGCAGTGTGGCGGGTCATTGAATCTCCCCATGCTTCCTTTTATTACAGCTTCTTTCCTTGTAGTTCACAGCAGTTGACAATTCAGTCGTTCAGTAAGCAGTTTTACAGTAAGCACAAATAATGTGTTTATTAGTGACTTATATTGACTATAGTGAGTTCATATTATACTGATTTGCACACAATTTTTATTTTCCTCTTTTGCAGACGGCTTTTCTATATATGTTTCTGTTATTGTAAAATAAAATATAATTGTGTGAAACAGGCATTGGCAATAGATTTATATTATGATACCATATTTCTCTCTTTGAAAAATATTTCAGTTATATTATGTATGAAATACTTTCAGTATTTTAAAAGATTTATTTGATACAGAAGAGTTTCTTACTATACATGATGAAAAAAGAGAAAAACTACATCATCCTGTCCTGGTATACGTTCATAAAACACATGACAATAATTTGTAACAGTTGTTTGAAATACAAATTTATAGAAAATCGTAAATCACTTATTGGTTCTAAACTCTTACAAACTTGAAAATAAACACATTTATTACAGAACACAAAAGTTTATTATTTACTGTTTTTGTCCTTTTTAATTGCAGGATGTCTGAGTCACCACATGCCTCAATTCATAACAAAACATGATGCACCTACTGCCAACTTCATAATCCTACATTTCACTCCTACATTAAATGAAGAATCCTATTAGAAAAACAATCAGAAATTAGAACAAATGGTCTATATTGAAACAAAGCACTGCCTTTTACCTATATTAATATTATGACTTCCTAAAAGTCACAGTTTTAAACAATTCTTTTTCTAACTTGAACCTTTCAAAAATATATTAGCTGTCTCTATAACCTACTCTCCTTCTAAAAAAGTGATTGAAACTATTGCAAACCAAACTCAATACTTAATACTTCAATGATAGCCTATACTTTATTTTTGCTTAAGGTCTGTGATTTGCAGTCTCCAAGGAAAAGTCCAAGCATCTAGTTCATTTAATTTATTTTAATCAGATCAAAGGCCTGTGTTTAGCAAGCCAATTGGTTAACACAGCTCTTGTCTTTACAAATTGATAAAATGTATAAGATGTAAAATTTGTATGTTTGTCTCTCGTATTACCGGCAGTAAAAATTATTTTTGAGTCCAAAAACAAAATGTTGAAAAGCAATCATTTGACTAAACTGACTTGCTCACAAAAATGGAAAATTCACTCATGCTGAAGAGTTGCACATAAAATATTTTTCATAAATTGTCAGAAAAATAATGAAAATTGGGATTATCATAAAACAGCCTAAACAGCCAATAAAGTGAGATAAATAAAGAAATAAATAGAAATTATTTGTAATTCAGTATTGTTCTTCAATATTTAAAGATAATCAAACCTCAAGTAGTTTTTAAAACATAATTATTTTTATTGAACTCAATACATTAAAAAACCACAAATGTTCCACAACACATGACCGCATCATCAGGTAATCAGAGACAAAGAAAGGAAAAACACATATACTTAAAAATCTCAAACTGGAAAACAGTCATGAAAAAACAATGTGAAGGACTCAAAATAAGCTTTGTCTATGATTGACCACCACCATCAAAACCAGGAAGCCAAATAATTTTTGAAAGCAAAACATTGATTTTTAGTTTATTGAAGCCAATAAAATAACTTTTAAAAAAATACTTGTGGTTTGATGGTCTTTAAATATTCAAGAATACCACTGTTCTACAAATCATTTGGCTTTTCGATGAAGGTGGTCAATTTTAGACAAAACTTGAGTCCTTTCCATTATATTTACTTGACTATATTTTCCAGTTTGTGTCTTTTTAATATGTCTGTTTTTTTCTTTCTTTCTCTCAAACTACATGATGATGCAGCCACAATGCATAGCAAAACATTATGGTTTTTTAGTGTATTGAGGACAATAAAAATAATTCCGTTTACAAAAAGTACTTGAGGTTTGATTGTCTATAAATATTTGAGGATTACACTGTCATACAAATTATATTATATAGACAACTATTGATTGGTTTTTAACTAGAGAATGAAAATAAGCATCATTGGAGAAAACAACTAACATAAATCCTAATTTTGGGTAGAACAAAGAGTCATTTTTAAATGGCATTTTCACAAAACAAACTCTCCTGTTTATATAAATACAAGATAAGTAATTTTATCTAGAATATTCTGTAATCTCTTAATGGCATAAATGTAATATCTTAAAGAAACCTAATAAACTCTTTCCAAGTACCTTTGAAACCATTGCTTTTGCTTCCTCAATAGTTTTTTTAAGAACTTCTTGCATTTTTTCGTTAGGTTGTTTGCCATTTCTTCTTCCAATAGGATCCTTATTGAATGTCCAACCACCACTGGGAATACACTTTTCTCCCCACTCATCTATCAACTTCAATTCCTCAACTTGCTCATCCGTGAGTCCCATTATGTTAGGAGGTAGCAATGTCCCATGATCACAAAGTTGTCCCATCTCTACCATAAATCACAACAAACACACAGTGTAATAACAGACATGTATTTGTGAACATAAAATATCAAGATTTAAATAAATTAATTAACAATTATCGTGAGGTAATTACTTGTATCAACACAAGTTCTACACACCTGAACAAATCCGACTTATCTTCAAACGTCCATTATATATTGCAACAGTATCCTCCATTAATTCATTTATAGAAATATTAACAGTAGTTTCATACAGAAATTGGTTTTGGTCTCCTTTCTTAATTAGTAGTTTGACCATATTGACTCACTTCTATAACCTACAAAAGTTAATTAAAAAGAAATTTTAATAATTACAATACATTTTTTCCGATGTGAATGTATATTCTAATGCATATTGTAGTTTCCTCCGTCATCTTACATGATCATAAATATTCTCACTCACCCCGACGCTGTTTGAACGAGTTTGAAGTACGTGCCAGGAAGATTTCCAAGACCGTAACCAAACTGGTGTAACCGTACAAACAGATACGTCTTCCCAAAGAAGATATTTATTTTTTAAGAAAAGCAATCTACTATGCGTTTACCACAAAAGAATGTACAGAATATTCTTTTTATTTCCTGTTTCTATTAGAAAACTCTCGAAAGCGAGAATGGTTCCTATGACAACCACCTAAACAAGTTCCTATTGCGCTTTGATAATGTTGCCTACCCTGATAAGTATAAAAGCGAAGTACATTCAGTAGGGATGGGCGATGTAATCGCGATTGGTATAAAAATCGATTATTTCTTAAAGAATCTTTTAATTATTTCCTAAAATTATTTTTATTCTTTCTCAGCGAATAAATTATTTGCGAGCTGGGGGATGATCAAATTGTTTGCAAAATGCAAAAATTCTTACTAGCTGAACTCAATTGAAGATTTGAGAAAGCTGAATTCACCATACCTTTCTCCGTCGCTACCATTTTAGACCCAGATTTAAGAAAATTTATTTTCAGTCCATTCTTGCAACCTCCCGCGCCATAATCTTTATATCCAACGAAATAACGAAAGGTTTGGAAAAAGCTGCAACCTCAAGTCCTCTAATACAACAAGCAAAACCAGATGAAATCTCAGCTAATAGTCTGGGATCTACATGACAAGCTCATGAAGTCGCATCAGCAAGATCAGTTAGAAGAATACGATGGTGGCGTACACGCGGAATTGCGCCAATATTTAAACAGACCCATATTATCTACGGACATAAACCCATTCCAGGCTTGGGAATCAATGAAGTCAGAATTCTCGAATGTTTACAAACAAGCCATTAGGTATTTATCCGTCACAGCCACCTCAGTCCCAAGTGAGAGACTATTTTCAGAAGCAAAAGTTGTACTTAGCGACTTGAGATGTCGTCTCACGCCTGAGCACTCAGCTCTCAGCTGTTTCTCGCCTCTATAAGTTCTAAATTGTGGACCGCGAAATAGTTTATTCATTTTCACAAATGCTTATGAAATTGTTTTCATATATAGCAATAAGCACTGATTGGAATAATTTATAGTTTTGAGATTTGTCCTTTGTATAGAATAAAAATATTCGTTGTATTCAAATAAATAACTTTTTTAAAATATTTTATCACCTTTTCTCTATTTTAAAACTTATTTTTATGCTACATTTGACCCCAACTTAATACCCCTTTCAGTCACAACGTGCATTGCAATGGATATATGTAACAGGGAACTTAACATGCGTATACTTTTTTTTGCTCGTAATATAATATATAAAGTCAATACTAATGAAATACGTACGATATATAATATGACAAAATATTCTATATGGAGTGAGTTTTTTAGTTAAGGTTTGTATTTATTCATGTATCATTCTTATCTACGTACAATATGCATTTTTGTCTCATACTTTCGTGTCTCAAGATAAAAATTTCACCGTATATAATAAACAGTATAATGCTAAAAAAATTAAAGTTATTATTAAGAAACATGCTTTAAGAAACAAGAAGTGATATTTTTGTACATTAACGGTTATTTAATGTTTCTATTGCTCAAATTTATTTCAAATAGTTTTAACACAGTAATTATAATTTAAAATAATTAATTAAAGGTTTGTTTTGCATTTCCTGATAATTATAAAAAATTAATCGATTATTTTAAGACGATTAATCGATGCAAACTAATTGAATGAAAACATTAATCGATTCCATCGACAGCAATATGAATCTTTTACGCATGCGCAATTTATTTTGCGCAAGAGCCATAAGGTCGAGATCTGGTCGAGATAGCTGTCGATTGCTGCATGCTATCACATAGAGATGTCTAGGCAGGATACGTGACTTTTAGAGCAGCACCGTCGTCTCTGGTTGGCAATGCTAGATGCTGTGAGCTAATGGTTAAAACACAATATATGTGTTGATTTTCTTTTAAAACGTCGTAATCGATTACGATAGAGGTTTTCCTCTGCCTATAAAGGTTTCAAAACTTTTTTCCCCCCTTTCTTTAGGTACACTTTCTCTCAGTGAGATGCAGGGACGGCCAACCAGCTTCCCTCTCTCCATTATTCCAATTTTTTGGTTAACTGCTGTAATTGTGCCAATGCTGGTGTTGGCCTACCATTTTCAATTGCCTGAACCTTCTCTTGGAACAATCTCGTTGAAATGGTCTCAAAATATCATCAATTATACTCTCGCTGGAAGACTACTACACAGAATTATTCCTGATACTCGTTAGACAAATAATTTTTACTACACTGCAAAGTTACTACAAATCCTCACGAAATAACGAGTAAGCACGTCAACACATCTCAAACGCTACAATGGACCACTACTTCGTAACTCACTGCACTAACACGCACATCGATTCTCTAAGAAGAATATATTGAGCTATTTACAAATTCGAGGATTCTAGCGATCTGATCACGTGTGAGTCAGAACTTCCTTCCCCAGAAAAAAATAATAAAATCTCTTCTGAACATTCTGGTTCACTCTCATTACATTGAGAGAGAAATATGTGCCCGATAATAATTTTATATGTATAAACTTCTCGATAAACGGTGCGTTAATTTATAGTAACAAAACATTCCATTTAAAATACTTTTGCATTGTGGCAGCACTGGCTTATGAGTAATCACGTTTGCAGTCGGGACGAGCCAACCGAGGGCTGGTCTTAAAGCAGCGGGGGTGGAGGGTAGAAACGTCATCCATTCCCGGCTAGCTAAGGTTCAGTTGGCTGCGGCTTCTCTCCGATCGCTCAGTGCTGGCCCAGTGACGTTAATGCACGCGCAACACCCAGGCACAGCGAAGATGTCAGAGCTCGGCTTAGAGCACTGCAGAAGCAGCCGCCTCATCGCAGTAGTGTACAGAGAGTGCAATATTTTTTATCATGTGACATACTGTTTATTGTACTTTTAATTATTGTAGTTTTAATTCTCAAATTTCAACAAAATCTCATTTTTGCTTACCCTAGCAGTGCTGGGGTTGAATGTACGCCACTCTTGAGATGTTATTTTTTCTCTAAAATAAAGTTGTATTTTCGCGATAACCAAGTTGTGTCCGATAGTGGATTGGGGAAAAAGGGGCCGGGAGAGACAGAGTAAGCGTTTGTTTTAGATGCCCTACAGTTCCCCAAATCAGGAAAGTTAAATTACAGAACCCACGAAACAAAGAGGACAAAAGTAGATTTCTGCTTTGAAGTAAGAAAAGTTACGTGGTTATTTGAAGTCATTAGTGGCCACTTCCAGGTTCCGCTCATATTCGTCATTCGCAATTCACACGTCAAAACATTTTGCTGTCATTCTCAGATGTTCCATGTGAAAACATATGTTGTTGTTTTTTTTTTTTCGTTTTTGCAGTAATATAAACAACCCACTAAAGGGCATAGCTCTGAATTACGTTGTTATTTACATGTATTGCCTGAACGAGTTGTACAAATACAGCATCATATGTATAAACCACTTAACTGTTGCGGATCTGCAAGACTTTATTTGTGTAAAAGCTAAGCCATCTTTTCAAGACTTATTTGTATGAAAGTAAAACCCAAACAGAGGTGGATCGTGCTTAGGTAGCACGATTGCACAACCCTCAGATAATCGAAAAAGATCTTATAAGATCTTCGGAATATACATTTTCCATTTTATGACATTCAATATTCAATAAATTACAGCAAGATCGATGTATATGAAATAATTTTGAAACCAGAGAGGTTTCGACTGGCGCTCTCTCCAGCGTCTAGTGACGCCTAGGTATTACACCACGCTCTTGGCTCTGTAACTGGCTTTACTGCATTCACTCTTTGGCCCTTCGCTTTAACTCGGGGAACATGCGCCCATTCGTGGCGCAACTAAATGGGTGCGGACAATCGCTGTGGAGGGCTGCGCGGTGACCGGAGGCGTCTGAGGCGACTATAAATATTCTGTCTTCGACTGACGCAACTTAATTTTATGAATTTCGCATTCTATTGAAAGTTCACAAGTTCTGTCAATTATTGATGGCATTTAATGAGTTATTTATGTTGTTTAGAGAATTTGTTTTCATTTGATATTAGATTTATTGATTCAAAGTGTACATGTAATTAATTCTTTGTGTAAAGTTTGCCATTCTGGAGGGAAGCCCCTTTCAGTCTCTCACGGAGGATGCATAATTCCGCCTGCAGCAGCCTGCCGCTACAGTCGGAAAGCGCTGGTGGGAATAAAACAACGAGTTAGAGATACATAGAGAGGCAAACAGCTATATTTCAGCGCTCCTAGCGTGATATTCCGTGAAATATGGCGGCCATGTTTAAGGTGTCAGAGTGTTTTGAACTGAGTTAATCAACTCTACTGAATTACCTTCTTTCGGTGTGTTTAGTTGCTTAATTGTTCTCGAGTACAAAGCACAGGTTAAAACTCAACTCTTCTGTTTTGATGCTGCTCATTGCTGAAGTTAACCCGTAATCCTCTAACAAGAGTAAAATTCATATTGATGGTACTGCAGGAAATTTCAATGAAGTTATTGAGAGTATTTTGAAAACTAACAATGTTCAAGAAAAAGAAGGTTGCATGCTGCAAATAAATTATGAAGACAGCATTTACTGTACGAACACAGAAAAAGAAAGGTGGTTTAGCAGCTCAGACGCTCAGTCTGTCAGTGGCTAAAGCAATGTTGTTTTCCAAAATATTGGATGAATGAATTTCAGTGTGTGAAAGTACAGTGAAGTTCGTAAAAACAAATGATTTAATATTTGACTGATTAAATAGTTGTCATCAATGGGTAAAAGGACAAATGCTTCCATTTCTAAGAGAACAAAGATGCAGTGTACAGTCAAATTGATGAGTGCATTGTTTACTTCAAAAATTTAAACTTTGCTGATGCTCATCTGTGTGGAGATCAGCCAGAAAGATACCCTTGTTGGATTTGTCAATGACTGTTAACCATTGAAGGTATTGCAGGAAATTATATGTGGAAGCTTAAATACCTATAACTCGCAGGCTTCGCCAAGACATTTGGAATTATTTTTTAGTTCTTTACACAAGAGGTGGTCACAGAACTAATCCCAATGCTATAACATTCCATGCGGCGTATAGGAAATTTTAATTGCACCGGTCATGTCATCTGAGAATGGCAATAGCACATTTTTTGATAGTGAAATGCTTATTGAGGAGGGTCAGACTTTTGAAAATGTAAGCACTTGCAAAGTAGTAGGTGACCATGACTATTGCAATCCAGGGTATTAGATACTCAGTCTTT